GGGAAATCTTAGATAGAAGCTCCGCCCATGCATCTTTCTCCTACCGAACTGGGGCTTCTGCTACGGAGCTGTGTTTGCCAAGTGGGTGGTTGTCAAAATTATGGTCCCTTTTTGGGTCCCCATTACAATACGGCACCTATTGTTTAGGGTACCCAAAAAGGGGCCATCATTTTCACAACTACCCAAGACAGTGTTATCCGGATATGCAACGAACGGCCGCCACTGACTCGGCCGAACAGTATAGGGAAAGACTCAACCCTAAACATCCACCAATTCAAAGAAACCCCACCGCTGAAGCCAAAACCGTAGATCCTGGCAGACCCAAAACTCGACACCCCAAACCTCCAAACCCCGAACCCTAAAACCCTAAACCCCTAAACCCTTACACCCTAAACCCTAAACCCCTAAACCTCCAAACCCTAAAGCCCAAACCCTAAACCCCAAAACTCTAAACCTCCAATCCCCAGACACCTAACCCCTAAACCCCAAACCTCCAAACCCTAAAGCCCAAACCCTAAAGCCTGGAGTCCAACAGCCACAGCACCCTAAAGTCCCAAGGCTTCTTCATGTCTGGGGGGGCCTTAGTAAGTAGAAGAGGGTTCCTTTAAAGGGGTTCTAAAAGCGTTACTATACGGGATCTATAAGGGTACTAGAGTTACTGGAGTATATAGGGGCCTTCATAGTTCGAATCAGGGTTTGGGGCCCATTATACTACAAGTATTAGGAACTCCCAAACAAGTATTGGCAATTATTTCGGCCCCTATACTACATACTACGCGTGGGATTTGTGCATGGGTTGGCAAGTTTAGGGTTTAGCGTTCAGGAACCCGGATTTCGGGTTTTAGGATTTCAGAAAGTTCCAGATGTAATCTAGGGTCCTTCATAATTAGAATAGGGTTTAGGGTAATGTTAGATATTCTGATTGTAGCATGACCAGGAACCATAAGGAATAACATGGTACGTCTTCAGGCTTCGGTAATGGGCCTTAAATTCTGTAACCCGCAGGTTTGGACATTCCCAGCCACTCGGTACTGCAGCTCGATGTACTCTTTCGGGTACGGATACCTTTGTGGGTTTAGGGTTTTGGCGATTGGGCTTAGGGTGTAGAATTGGGCCACGGGTCCTTTCCAATGGAGGTGACTTCGGTCCAGAAACCCGCGAAACAATTCTTGAAGGACGGAACCCCGAAGGCCTCAAATGCCTGGTGGTGTGACTCGAGCCCAGGAAGTTTCCCCAGCTGAGGGCGAGAGGGTTAAAGCCTTGGGTGGGTGTTCTGTTTTTTTGAGGGCGGGGTTGAATCGCGTTTTGTGGCTAAGGTCCAGGTTTGGAGCTTGGTTCTGGTGCCAAACGCCCTGAACCCTTGTCTGCAGCCCAAGTGTCGGAATCAATGGCGCATCCTTGGGCACCATGCCCTTCTCCCTGTCAAGGGGAAGCTCACATGAACGGGCATCATTGAGTTCTAACTACGAGATTGTCAATCATCACACCAGTTCTACGCTCGCCAAGGTTCGAGAGAAGCCCAAAGCACACCCTGATTCAAGCCCTTCCCATTATCTTAGCGTTCTGCGACCCTTTCGGCTTGGGTGTGGTGCCTTTTTGTCTTGCCGGTACGTATGCAACTTCGGGTCAGGGGTGTTGCGGGGGGACACGGCATTCATCTGTTGTAAAGGCGCAGTGGTTTGATGGTTGGAACCGAACCTTCAGTATCCACTTTCGTTAGGCCGCGTTCATGCTGTGGCCGGACATATGCAGAGTCATTTGCGGTTTAGGGTGCTTCGTAGGTTGATGCTTGCCTGGTCAACTCCCCATCTGTTATCACTCTGAGTCTGGCGCTCCATGGTTTCATGCTTTATGTCTTAGTTCATGAATCCACCATGCCTTCCCTGATCCTAAACCCGAAGCCCTAAACTCCCAAATCCTAGCCCTTAACCGCAAGCCCTCAGACCACCCCCATCAACACCCAAAGCTCACCGCAAGCTTCGGCCTTTTGCAGGCCTAGTGGTTCACACCCCGGATTTAGGGTTTAGGGTATGAATTAAACTGTTTAGGCGTACTTTAGATCTCCTATACCTTATTGAACTCTTACAAAACCGTCGCAGGACTCTAAAACAGAACTCGTATCGACCCGAGCCCTTATAGAGCACTCATGGAACTCTTTCAGAAACATTGTAGAAAGCTGATGCAAACTTGAAGAAGACCCGCCTGAAGCTTCTCTCGTACTCATCCCACTCTTTGAGGGCGGACTCGAGCATCCGATCCACGTTGCAGGCATAATGCGCCTCAGGATGAATCTAGGGGCTTAGGGTTTCGGGTGTAGGACTTTGGGTTTCGGTTTAGGCCTTTAGGGTTCAGGGCAATGTAGGTCCACAAAAGTTAACAGATTTCTATAGCCACGGTGTGGTAAGCCCGGTAGAACTCCGAGCCCCGGGCTGCAGATGCAGGCTTTATGGTGTGGGTCAGGGTGGTCTCCAGCTGACTTTCAAGGATCCCCTCTAACCACAAACATCCCCAAGCCAAGCAGTCTAGAACACATCCCCTCACCCGGAAGACTCACACAAAACCAAACCGAACAACGACAGAAACCCTGAAATAACAACACATGAAACCCTCCCTTATGACACCCCGAACTAACTTTCTGGGACTCCGGCGATCCAGTTCTTGTACCTCAGCCGTAGGCGCCGAGACAGAGAAAGAGAGAGAGAGAGAGAGCAAGAGACAAAGAGCGGGAGAGAGCGAGATTTTACAAAATGTCTAGCTTTGCGTTTAGGTGTTAGGATAGGATTTATGCAGCAGACCATCTAGAAGCTTTAACCGAACCTCTGTAAGGGTCTCATGGGGCTGGACCAGGGCTTTCTGGAAAGGCCTAACTACGGAGGCTAGCGTTTTTTGGGGTGCACTAGATACGGGGGTTACCTTATTATTTTGGGGTCCTTATACTAGGAATCCTACTGTTTAGAGTTCCTTATCAGGGTTCCACTAGTTTCGGAAAAGGAACGAGGACATACTGCTGCGGCAGGCGTAGCAACTCTTGCCTTGTCAACCCCAGGTTTGGATTTGAGAGTCGAGCCGAGAAGAGCCATGGCGGCCTTCTTGAAATCAGGGGTGCCTCATTTAGTGATCTTTAGAATAAGGATCCTACTATCTACTATCTTGTTCTATACTACTGTATTTGTTGATTCTGGGTACACATACAAAGACTTATATATATATATATATATATATATGTATATACACATATATTCATACATATATATATATATACATACATATATATATATATACATATGTCAATGAACACCGGAAGCCATGATATCTGGTGCAAGCATTCAGCCGCTCCTGCAGTCGAGTGGCCCATCCATGTGCTTCCTAAGTCTTGTGCAGGGTCCGAGGGTGTAGGGCTGAGGGTGGGCACATTGTGCAGTTTGGGGTTCAGGGCTTGAGGTGCTTGATATAGGGGACTGGATGATTCTGAGTAGTAAGATTCTCCTCACGGTTCCCTGATTAAGGACCGTGGTGGAACTAGTTCTGGGTAAACCCTAAATCCTTAACCCCGAAGCCCACATCCTAAGTCCAAGACCTGGTCTGGATCAGAATCGAAATCAAGATCATCATAAATGGCACAACAACCACCAGCATACGAAGCCCCATGAACACAAATTGCTGCGGCTGTTCAACTCTACTGTGGCAAGACCCTTATGTGCAATGTAGAGAAACCCTAAACCCTGAACCCTTTGGGGTAATCTCCCCCCTCTGCTGTTCGGGGTTTTGGGCCGCGAAGGGAGCTGAATCCCCACTCTTTCTGATTGAGAATCGACTGCTTCATGGGCACCCCACAAGTGCTGAAAGCTGTCCCGCTATGCAGGACCACTCAGGGCCCCTCATAGAGCCCTTTATGGTCCGTAATACAATTTAATGGCTAAACCAAACCCCGAAACCCTAAACCCCAAACCTCTCCGGGCCAATAACTTACCTTTGGTTGGTGGGGAGTGGGGAATGGAAGAATGGCAGCAATAGTAATCATAGTTGTACCCCATTCCTCCATTCCAACCTGAACTTCGGAAACCTTCTGAATGCCAATAAATGGCCCGAACTTCGGAGACTTTCTGGATGCTTCCCGGCCGCATCTTCTCACCGAGTGCCACGCTGACCATACCCCAGGTAAAGGCGGTGCCAACGGAGTGCCTCCGTAAGGCGCTGCTCCACTACAGTAGAAGCCAGAATCAAAGGGTAAAAGGAGGGATCCCCATTAAAATTAAGGACCCCTAGGTATATACCCATAATATAAGGCGCTGCTCTACTAAACCCTACACCAAGCCCTACCTTAACCCTGAATAACCTACCCTTTTTAAGGCCTTATATAAGGAAATCAGAATAAGGAGCCCTAAAAAAGGGTAGGCTTTTCAGGGTTAAGGCAAATCCGAACTCCAACTGCAGGCTCGGAGTTGTTGGTTTAGGGCTCCTGTCTTGCCAGTTGCCACGATGTACTAGAACGTGATAACAGTACGATATGACACACTACAACATGACGATACTGCAACATCGTGGCTAGGTCCGGAGGAGCGGGGGTTAGGGAGCTGTCTGGATATTGGAGCTTATAGGGTTTGCAGTAGGGTAGTTTAGGGTTTGGGGTTTGGCATGCTTCTTATGTAGGACACACGGCCAGTTGAGCGGGTTTTCATTCTTGGGTTTGGGGGTTGAGTATGGGCACTTGCTATCAACCCGCAACTTCATAACTCGAACTTCACCGAATTCTGGAATGAGCCCGCTTCATTTCGGGAGTGCGCTAGTTTTTGTGGGGTGATGTTTGGGCCAGAAGCCCATGAAAGCGCATGCAGTAACCCTGTAGCAACTCTTATTGTAACGCTTAAAGCAACCCTAAGCCCTGAACCCCGTGAACCCTAACCCCTAAACCACCAAACCCATTCTACATAAACCCCTAAACCCTAAATTAAACCACTAAACCCCAAACCACTAAAGTCCTGGGGTTTCGGGTAGAGGATTTAGTCTACACGCCGAGCCCCCTTCGGCCTGGCGTTGATGAAGTAGGCCGGCGAGTCTGGATCGGGATCGCCAGCATAGTGCATCGGCAGCGTGTTTAAATGACCGGCCTCATCCAGCTCCTTCCGTGGTCTAGAGCTTTGTAAAAAGGTACTTCCGAGTATTTATCAGGTCTATAACGTTTTAATGGGGTTTAGGGTTTATAGGGTCGGGCGGTAGCGGCGCTTAGGGTTTATGGATGGCGATTTGGGGTGTGAGGGCCTAGAGTTGAAGTTTTGTGGCATAAGTAAGCAACTCAGGGCTTAGGGGTGTAGGACGTATGAGATGAGATTTTGGGACTAAGGCCGCTACACCCCAAACCCCTAGGGGCAGATGGTTCAGTAAAGCGTGTGTCGGTCCTGCTGGGAAGTATCAAGAGCTGACTACTCCCTACTCAGTGCGGTTTAATCAGTTTAGAGACAAGGTCCGGGCTTTAGGGCTTCAAGGCTTTCGGGTTCAGGGTTTAGGGTTTAAGGCTTCAGGGTTTAGGGTGAGCTGAAGTCGAAGGCCGTTCAATCGGCCCGCCAGTTCAACGAGACTTTGCGTGCCCTGAGGGGTTTCGGGTTTTGGGCTTTTGGGGTTCTTGGGGCTCTAGGGGTTTGAGGATTTTGGGGTTTAGAGTTTATTTGGGGTCTAGGGTTTAAGGATTTTGGTGTTTAACGTTTAAAGATTTTGGGGCTTCGGGTTTCGGAATTTTGGGGTTTCGGGTTTAAGGATTTTAGGGTTTAGTGCTTATTGGGGGTGTGGGGTGTGGGGGGGTCGCCCTGAATTCCGAAGCCCGGAGCCCTGGACCAAGCTTTAGCCATAAGCCTCAAACACATCAAAACGCCTCCAACCCCCGCCCCCCTCCCAAAAAAAAGCAACCCGAAACCTAATCCTTAAGATGTGCTAAGCCTAAGCCCTAAACCCTGAAGACCACACACAAGCCGAAAATGCTTAAAAAAAACGGAAGATTCCCCACAGAAACCTTGAAAACCCATAGGGCTTGGGGCTTTGGAGGACGTAGGTGTAGGGTTGTCTTTGGAACTCCATGGAAACCCTGAACATGGAACACACCGCGGCTCCCTCCACTCGTTCGGGCAGTCCCAAACCTCATTTCATGATGGGCTCACTTGCTTTCGGCCGAAGTGGGATGACTGGTTTAGTCATAGGGATCCTTAGGGGTGTAGGGGGAGGGGGGGTAGGGGGCCTTGAGGCCCATAATAAGGACTAATAAGGCCTATTTAAGGACATATAGTCCCCTACACCCGTAAGGATCCCTATGATTTAGGGGGGTCCTGGTGGTCCATGGTTTGGGGGCCTCCAGTTTAGATTTGATGGTTTCTGGGGCCCCAAACAAGCACATAAGCAAAAAGAAGGATAGGGATATCCCATATAGACCCCCTTATAAAGAAGCCCAATAAGGTAGGCATATCCCTATAAAATGCTTATGCTTATCTGCTTTTGGGGTCCCTAAGTTGCTTGTGGTCTCGCGGGCTATCACTCGGCAAACCCAAAGTGCCAGGTTTTAGGGTCTTGGGGTCGCTCGGGTTTAGCATTCGGCGCTTAAGCTTGAAGCTCTAGGTACCAACCCTAAGCCCCAAACTTTGACACTCTAACCCTAGACTCGACCATATACCCAACCCCCCCCCCACAGAACAAAGGAAAAGCACGCCTGCAAACCCTAGAACCTCCCATTGGGACCAGCCATAAACCCCTAAACCCTAAACCCTGGAACCCTAAACCCTGAACCCTGGAGCCCTAGACCCTGGAGCCATGAAGCCCTAAACCTTAAACCCCGGAGCCCTGAGCCCCTATAAACCCCCAAACCCAAAAGAACCCCCCCCCCCCCCCCCCAAGTCGGGATCAACCGTAAACCCCTGAACCCTAAACCCTGGAGTCCTAAGCACTAAACCCCCCAAAAGAACCCCCCCCAAGTCGGGATCAACCGTAAACCCCTGAACCCTAAACCCTGGAGTCCTAAGCACTAAACCCCCCAAAAGAACCCCCCCCAAGTCGGGATCAACCGTAAACCCCTGAACCCTAAACCCTGGAGTCCTAAGCACTAAACCCCCCAAAAGAACCCCCCCCAAGTCGGGATCAACCGTAAACCCCTGAACCCTAAACCCTGGAAAAGCCCTAAACCCTAAACCCTAAACCCTAAACCCTAAACCCCTTAAACCCCTAAACCCTAAACCCTTGGGACAAGCGGCGTGCTTCATGAGACAGACCCAGCTGTATGCTCCAGGGCCGATCGTGGTCGCAGCAAAGTTGGCAGCGTAGATGCCTGGAGGTTGGCCGAATATAGGAGCCTTTATGATTAGAATAGGGTTCCTTTCAAGGGGTCTATAAGGGTTACTATGATCTATAAGGGGACTATAAGCATATAGGAGCCTTAATAATTAGACTTTGGGGTTTGGTATCCCGTTATCCTTTGATTATAATAAGGAGCCTCCAAAATGGTATTAGGGTTTGGGGCAGAGGAGTTTAGGAGCTTAGGGTGCTTCGGTCAGAGGTTTAAGGAGTTTTGGGTTTAGGGCTTAAGGAGTTTAGGGTTTTTTTGAGGGCCTTTTAGGGTTTAGGGTTTAGGGTTTAAGGAGTTTAGGAGTTAGGGTTCAGGAGTTCAGGGTCTAGGGTTCGGGATTTAGAAGCTTAGTGTTTAGGGCTTTGTTTCGGTTTCTGGGAGGGGGTGGCGGGATTGGGGCGCAAGGCCTTCAGATTGGGCTTGGTCGCGTGTTGTCCGGGTTTAGGACGTAGGGTTTGGGCTCTAAGCGTGTAGGGTGGCGTGGCCTTTGCGGTTCCAGACGACATGACTTATGAGGTCAGGTCGGCCTCCGGCTTCTGCACAGTTTGGGGCTGCCAGGGCCTGTGGGAGGGTTAAAAAAGGCTTTGGGTTATGTGGGTGGTTGTCAAAATTATGGTACCTTTTTGGGTCCCTAATATAAGACGGCACCTAATTTTTAAGGTGCCCAAAAAAGGAACCATAATTTTGACAACTACCCACGTAGAACTGGCTTCGGATGTCGAGCTGGATTGGACACAGTTGCAGCTCCATTTCTAGCCAGAGTGTGGGGCACACAGGGAATAGAATGGCAGTTCTCTGAACTAGGGTTCCTTGTTGAAGCCTCAAAAATAGTACGCCACCCTTATAAAGCAATTATTTCTGTAGGGTTCTTCAGACTTCAGACATGCCGGCAATGGTGGCCCTACACAAACAGACCGAGCCACCGTCGGGATCAGCATTGGTGAACCGACGTGGGTCGCCATTGATCCAGTAGCCACGGAGATACTTAGCATGGACCACGCGGTCCACCGTGGCATCCGGCAGCATACCTCCCACAGCGCTCCCTATACCCCCTCGTTCTCCCAGGGCACACCAATGGAAGGCTGCGGCTGCTTATGACATCGTCATAGATTTACTACCGTGAAAGCCATGGGTGTTCTTACAGCTAGACTGCTGTGGCTGTATTGTTGAAGACATGCAAGCCTTGGGGGTAGAGTGAAGGCTCCGGCTTCCATTCTAATGGCACCCTCCCTTCCCCCCCAAACCCTACTACACCCTAAATCCGTAGATGGGAAACCCCGAAACTCAAACCCCCTTCTGAGTAGCGCACTATGTTCTCTGCGTCGTGCCACAGAACCCTTAAACGGAAGCCTATGCATTTGAGGATGACTTCGAAACCCTAAACCCTGACCCCTAAACCCTAAACCCCAGACCGCCCAGGGGCCTATGCACTTGAGGATGACGTTGATGTCTTCGAGCTTCCTACCGCTCTCCAGGTGCACCGTCTTCTCGCTGCATCGCTTCCTCGGGCTAAGGGACTTAGACTTTACGTGGCTTTAGAACGGCTTAGGGTTTAGGGTTGAGAGATGTTTAGATTTTAGGGTTTAGGGTTCAGGTTTTAAGGCTCAGGGTTGAGGATTTGGGGTTCAGGCTTTAGGGTTGAGGGTTGAAGGTCTCAGGACTTAACTTAGAGCTTACTTGTCCAGCATCCTAGGGGAGCCAAAGGTAAACCTTTGGAATCATACAATGATTTCGCACCCCGAACGAGTTAAAGATTACCTACTCTACTACTAAGAGAATCTTCATTTATACGCTTTTCCAACGTTTCTGTAGGGGGCTCAAATGAAGAGAAAAGCGCACAAGAGCTCGCAAGAGTTAAGTTATGCACCGCATAGACCAAAAGCTCCTCACACCCCAAGCCCAAAAACAGCCTTAACCCCAAACCTTAAACCCTAACCCCAAACCCTTAACCCCAAACCAAATTGAAAGCAGAACCCAGCGGTTCTGACCCGAGCTTCACATTGTCGACCACGATTTCCAGAATGCCATAGGCACAGGCAAGGAAATAGACGTCTCCGATGCCAAACCTGCATTTGGCAGGGTCTCGAGTCGAGGGGGAAAGGTGTAGGATATAGGAAGCAGCTGAGGGGTATAAAGCGTAGGCTTTCTAGATAAACGATCAGATGGACAGATATAGATAGATTAGCTAGATGGATAGGTGGGAAGATGGACTGATAGATAAACACGCAGATAGGCAGTTTAATTAAGGAAGTTTGAGGTTTCGCATATAGGATCGGATCTAACAGGGGATAGGAGTGCGGGCTCGGATGGGAAATTTGGGGGATTTGGGCTTCACACAGCATGTTAGGGCTTGGGGTTTCGGGTCTAGGGGCGGTTTAGGGCTCAGAGATTAGTGTAGAGACTTGAGGGGTAGAGTTGAGTACAAGATGCCTCTTGGAGCCTTGATTGAGCTGTCACAGTACAGTAGAAGCCAGAAAGTTGGAATATCATTATCATAACCCCTTTAAGGTAAATTATAGGGGATCCTACCATGAATCCATATTCCAACTTTCTGGAGTTCCCTGTAGGGGTGTGTTACAAATATTCTGCCTTCCTTACCAAGGCAGGGTGTGGGCTGGAGCAGGTGGTCTGTAGGATTTACGCGTGTACTCGAAGCCCTACGTGTAATTCCGTGAAGGAACCAAGACGCCCCATGGAGAGGATGTACATACCCTTTGGGAGTTTCCGAAAATTAAGGGGTACCTTATTTTGGGGTCCTTATAATAAGGATCCTACTATTTAGGGTAACATATTAGGGTCCCCGCATTTTCGGAAACTACCATATGTTGCAACTTGGAAGGGCAGGGGGCTTAGTAAGTAGGTTATAAGTAGAGTAATAAGTACCCCAAATGGAGTACCCCAATGAAAATCCTGCTTATAAGCTACTTACTAAGTCCCCTGCCCTTCCAAGAAGGGTTTACGTAGGAGACTCAGAGGATTTGGGCTCTTGTTTCGACTCCTGAGGCTTACAGTAAACCCCATAAAGTTGGAAACCTAGTTAAGGCCAAATAGTGCTGGGTTTCCTTATACATTAGTCAGTTGGAAACCCAATAGCCTCGATCCTTAAGACTAATGATTAGTCTTAAGGATCGAGGCTATTGGGTTTCCAACTTTTCGGCTTCTACTGTAGGTCACGCCCTCCTCGTCTTCTGAGCGATCGAGGCTGTCGTCCGCGCAGAGTTCGCGGTGACGGAGTGCATGTCCCAGGGATCGAAGTTGCCTTGCATTGGCCCTAAACCCTAAACCCTAACCCGGCACTTTGGCCCACTCTTGATAAAATGAGTTCGAGAGGATTTTGGGGCACGATAGTTCCACAGCATAGGAGCTAAAGCGGATACTAGATGTACTTGATCAAACATCTATATTGAGACCTTGAACCCTAGAGCACAAAGCCGAAAAGCCTAACCGCTGTAGACCCCTTATGACACCCCTACAACGTTCCGGAAGCCTTAGAGAAGCTCTTCAGGCAAGTTGCAGAGCTTGTAGCCCTCTTTGAGCATGTCCAGGCAGTGCGCCCCGGACATCGCGGGGTTTGACTGGCAGAATCACTGGCGATTGGGGATTTATAGGGCCTTCTTATGCTTGTATCGGGTGTTCCAGGGTCTTATCGGGGTGTTAAAAGGCCTTGCAGGGTTTTCGGCTTGAAGTTCAGAGGGTTCTAGAGGCGCAGAAGGGTTTGTAATCTTCAAGGCTTTGGGTTTAGGGGTTTTAGGCTCAAGGGCTTGGAGCTTGGGGTTGGGGGTCGCAGGTTTTCTAATCTGCTTTCAAGGGAGTGTCTAGCAGCGGAACCTTGAGGAATAGTAGCGTGCTCTTCTCCATCTACGGCGCCAGGTTCTTCTTCAAGCTGCGCCTGGTTGATGAACCAGGAGACGGCGCGAGGACAGGTGAGGTTTCGTTTGCGGCACACCACGTACCTGAGGATAGTATAACGGCTGATAGCTGTACCAGTATTCTGGGGTACCTTTGTCTGTGAGCTTGCCTTCAGACTGCTACGGACTAAGTAAGTTTCGGCTTCTCTATTTTAAGGCTGGCCCTTCCGGAGAACCCCTGAACCCACCCCCTCAGTCCCCTCAACGAGGAAGGTAGCCTTTTGCTTGGTACTCAGCTTTGTTAAAGGAGCCCTACGGCAAAAAAGTGCCAAAGGGTACCACTGGGGCAGCCCGCAAAATGAGAAAACATGGAAGCCTTGTGCCATCTAGTTTGGCTTCTGCGGCTGTAGCCGAGCATCAGAGTCCAAGGATTGCCGGCTTATAGTATCAGGTGTGGGGAGACTCCGAAAATTAGGGGTACCTTATTTTGGGGTCCTTATAATAAGGATCCTACTACCTAGGGTACTATATTAGGGTCCCCTATCTTCGGAAACTCCCGTATAGGCTAGTACAGGGGGGTACAGTACCAGTCTATTCAGGCCGCCTTGGGAGGTGATACTGCTGATGGACAAAATCCTGTATTACCCATTATAAGGAATATCCCATAGTTCCCATAGTTTAGAGTTCTTAGGGTCATGCAGGATTTTGTCCATCAACAGAAACCCTAAACCTTAAACCCTAAACCCTAAACCTCAAACCCTCAACCCTAATTAGTATCTTCTTTTCTCCTGGGCTCTGGTCTGCTCGTGTGGGTTTGAGGCTTTGTTGACGTCTGCAGCCGGCCGCTTCTGGCCCAAAACCGCTACATCCCAAAGCATACAACGGATTCTGCAACCCCGAAAGCCACGTATCCCTAAGCTAATGAACAAACCCTAAACCGCAATAGCCCGAGAAACCTCCCAAAACACGCGGTTTTGTACTTCGTCGATGTTCTCACATGGCCCAGGCACATCTGCATTGCGCCGTACTCGCAGCAAGTGCGGATGTTCCTCGACTTGGAAGGTTAGAGCCCCGGGCATGCAGATCTAGATAACACTAAGGGTTCATTTTGTTTGAACTTTGTTTCTAAATGGCATGAAGTCCTGAGAGGCAGAAAACATCAGGACAGCCGTAGCCGCTTTGCTCAGCTGGGGGCACAATGCCGCCACCATAACACTAAGGTTTAGGGTTGAGGGTTCAAGACGGCATAGTTTCTTGGGCTAAGGGTTGGAGTAATTAGTCACGCTGCTGCATGCTGTCACTCTCACTGCAACGGATCATTACGACTAGGCAAAACTGTTGCGATATGCATGTCAAGAATAATATGACATCGAAAAAGATCCAACTCAGAATCTGAGACTACCAGCGATAGGCGCAATTTTCCGAATGCGAAGCATCGCTGTCTGCACGAGCCGGGCAACTCCATGGTGAAGGCACCATGCCCATGGATGATGACCCGCTTGCCTGCAACATCACCATCATTATAGGGTTTAGGGTATAGTAGGATTATAGGGTTCAGGGGTAATTATAAGTAGGGTTATAATGGTTTCGACACCCTAAACCCTAAACCTAAACCCTGAACCCTAAATCCTGAAACTTGAAACCTAAATCCTGAACCCTAAAGCAACACCATCATGGTTTGGGGGCTCACGAGTTGATGGGTTCAGCGGTTGAAACAGATTCCACTTTCAGTTGGCAATCGCGCGTCGTGTTGAGGACTCGGCGTTCTTTCAGGGTAAACAACAGGCGCCATGATGGTCTTACATGTTCGGCCCTGTACTTCTGTCTGACACCCCTTGTACAGAGAGCACCATAAACCCTACACCCACATGCTAACCTACACTCCTATATCCCGTAGACTCCAAGATGATAATTGAACCCTGAACAACCCCAATCACCAAACGTAGGGTTTCGGTCACTTCGGCTTCGGGCACAGGCTTTCTCGCATTTAGGTTTGAGGGCTCGGGGCTTAGGGCGTCAAGCTCCAGGGTTTAGAGTTTGGGTGCAGGGTTTCGGGCCTGGGTTCAAGGTTTAACAGCCACCACCCCATATCACGCGTTCATGCTCCCGGCTTGCTTCAGGGAGTTTGGCATAAGGTTTTGGGCATGGGTGGCGCTTGCTTGACCTTCATTCACACTCTGATTCAAGCAGCTTGATGTGCAGATGCAGAACTCACCTTTAAGACATCTGCACAGCCCGCTCCGGCTCAGACTGAATGCAACAGAAGCCTCATAGACTCTGTAAGACACAAGACCGAACGTACGATCTTCATACAGACTGCGGGCTTCGACGCCGTAGCTGTTGCTATAGCTATATTGGGTTGTATTCGGTACCCCAAAGAATCATGTTTTTGGCAATGCAACCCCTGCTGCATATTACCTTCCAAAACCTGAGAGCACCGTCGAGCACAAATCCGCCCCAAACCCTTGCCTATGACGTTGTTGTAGTCGCACCGCATCTCGACACCATACTCCACAAAGCCTTGGAACAGATCCTGACCAGGAGCTCAAACTCCACAGGGCCTTGGGTTTGGGGCGGCCTCCAGCTGCGTTTCTGGCGTCTGTATTTCTATTCTCAAAGCGCTGCTGTTGCTCTGAGAACACTTTTTGCCCAAACCCAAGTTCCTGACCGTGAGACCCCAAAACCCTGAAGCCCTAAACCCGGAAACATTAAACCGACCCTAAACCCTAATCTGGGTTCTTGTTAAGGGATTGAATTTAAGTTACCATCATAAGGAAAACCATGTTATTTACTATAGATCCCTATTGTAGTATCTTGAATTGACTGCCTTAATAATAACTTATTAAAGTTACCATAAGGGACAAATCATGCTATTACTATAGATCCCTATTATGGTATCCAAGAACCCAGTAAAATCCACCGTTGCGGGAAGACCAGACTCCAGAAACTCCCAGGGATCTCTTTGAGCCTCCCCAGGGTAGGTCAGCTGCCTCGGGTTGATCAGATTGCCTGGCCAGATACCTGGGAAGTAAAGTATGGTTAGGGTTCAGGGATTAGGGTTTGGGGTTTGGGGTTTAGGGTTTAGGGATTTCGGCTTTAAGGGTTTTATGGCTCAGAATTGGGCCCTAAACCCTATAAGCCCTGAAGCCAGATACCTCAGGAATTCTCGAGGATTTGGGCCTTAGGGGTTTATGGCTCAGAACTTCTTGAGGATTTGGGCTTTAGGGTTTTATGGCTCAGGGTGTCTGGGTTTGGGGACGGTTTAGGGCACAGGCAGCTAGACCCTACAGGGAACTCCAGAAAGTTGGAAGGATACCCTATAATTTACCATAGAAGGGTTAGGATAATCATATTCCAATTTTCTGGCTTCTACCTTAAAGCTTTGACCAAATTTACCTCAAGCCCGAATCCTAAAAACCCGCACCAGGACTCTACTCAGAGCCCACTCCCAGGGACCGAAGCCCACACCCTAAACCTTCAAAGCCTACGGCCCCTAGGCCTAAAACCCTAACCGTAAACCCTAGTGACCCTTGCAGAACCCTGACAGAACCCTTAAAGCAACCCTGAAAGCCTTTGAAGGAACCCCAACAGCCCTTCAAAGAAGCCTTACAGAGTCCTTAGAGGACCTCAAACCCCTTCAGAGGAACCTCGAAAGATTCCAAAAGCCCTTGAAGGAACCCTAAAAGCCCTTAAAGGAACTCGACTTTAAAACCCTATAACGACCTTTTAAAGGCACCCGATTATAGGAACCCCAGTTATCCTTTACACGAACCCCTAAAAGACCTTCTAAACATTTCTCTGCTCCGAGGGACAAAAGCAAGAGGCGGAAAAGACGAACGGCTTTCGATTCCGATCCACGCGGAAGGCGCCCGCGTACCTCTGAAGCACCGTTTAGGGCTTGGGGTTTAGGGCTTGGGTTGTAGGGTGTGGGGTTTAAGGTTGAGGATTTTGGCTTAGAATAAAGGGCTTCGTGAGAATCTGCGACTTCGGCGTAAGCGCCTAAGGTCCAGGGTTAGAGTTTAGTTTGGACTTAAACTGGTTGAGAAGAGTACGCTGTCGGCAAAGGGTTTGCAGCTGTTGCTTGCTGTATGTGGCATGGCTCTGTTGTCTTTAGCGCTGCGGGGGTTGTTTGGTGTGAGAGTCCCTGAGACTCGAGTTTTCGGCGTGCGTGGTCTTGTTTGGAGCTTCTTTAAGGCTCATGCGCTTTAGGGTCATGCTGCTCTGTTACCTGTGCAAGGTTTTTGTAGCGGATCCGAATACATACTAGTAATACCACTTTATCGGTCCCTATCCCTACATACCCCCTCCATGATTCCGCGGATATACCCCATAAGCATAATCTTATCATCATTAAGGACCAGATACAGCCGTGCTACAAGGCCTGGTTATTTGTAGCAAGTATTCCTTCAGCTTCCCTCATCTAACTATGGCAAACTATATCATAGCAGTTCGTTACTATTTTTTCAGGCCTAAACAGTCCACCAACTTCCGGTTGAACCATGGTCCTTGCAATGACAACCAAGTCTCAACCGTGAACCTAAGCCCTAAGCTACTACAATCATACGGATCCGTTATAGAGCCTTTGAACTTTGAAGGCAACCTTAATGAAATCACCGAAAGCCCTAAACCCCTCTTCAGCGCGCCCGTCGGTGGTGGCGTTCTTGTGGTGCTCCAGCTTTTCGCCGCCCTGCTCGTCCTGACTATGGTGTAAGCTT